CCAATCTAAAGTTGGATCATGCCGTGCCGTTGCAATTGCCCTTCTATGATGACATTGGAGCCACGCCTCCACACCCTTTCTCCTCCAGTACTGCTCCACAGGCCCTAACTACTGAAAACTCGACGCCGGCGGCCGCAGGTGATGCTACCCCTGCGACACCCACGCTGCGTGTGACAAAACTGCGTGCTGCCGCTGGTGGCCCTTTGTCCACCCCAAAGGTACACACTTCTTTGCTATTACCCTTACTTATACGTGTGGATTGTTGGTGAACAGTATACACTTATCTGCTGCTCAATGGCACCGTTGAAGGAAACTGCTAGGCCAGAAAAAGGTGTGGTCACGGAAGCAAAATGTTTACTGGCCTGGCGTTTGGGTAGCTGCCCTCAGAGGCGATCATCGATAACGGTGATGGGGCTCAAGGAATATTTTTATCTTTCACTATGGGTTCGAGTGATAATCCGAAGCCTCAGCCCAATAGACTCCTTGTTCCCGCAATTGTACCTACATCTGAACTGCTTTCTTGAATTCGTCGTTTCGCTTTTATTGGGAAACCAAAAGCTCTATACTGACTTATAACGCGGATCTCCATGGTTTTGTGATGCGATAGGCTGACCACATAGGTGGCAAACGATAGGCATGCTGTGCTGCTATTGAAATTGTCGTTTGCCTGATAGGCGACTATCACTTCTGGGTGTCTCTTCTGTCAGCTGGATCAACTGCTTGTGCACTGTCCAGGGCATATTGATGACTGTCTTCGGTCCTGTACTGTACTCCTTTCTTCCAGTCCATAAATAAATTTGAAAATGAGTGGTAATTTTTGATTAACAGACCCAAAAGAAGGATGTAAAACGGCTAATAAGCCATAAATGGCCATTCCGGTCTCCGGTATCCCATTATCTGCAGGTGTAACTAGCCGCTATGCGCCTGCCGCTGAGAACTCTGGCTTTAGCCATAAGGCACAACAGGACTAGTATGTCCCGTAACTTGGTAGGTCAGCACCACTTTACCATAATTAATATTCCCAATCACAACTGACAGGGCAATGACCCGCAGTTCATTAGTAGAGCGTTCGATTCCATGAACAAAGAGTCCGGGTTCGAATCCTGGGTGGTACACAATTGAGATTGGGCATGACTGGCTGACGACGGCTTATACGCCAGAAATGGCAATTCCGGTCTCTCTTATCGCCGATGCTCCATCATCTGCAGGTGTAGAACATGCTATTATCTATCATTATTTTCCCTCGTTAGACACAAAGGTCGGCCGAACGAGTTCTGATGATGGGTGCCTGCTTAAACGTACGGCTACATGAGTGGTAGTGGTGGGGCTCGTTACTGTAGATTTGTCCAGTTTATCAAATTTTTAAAATTCCCAGCCTACTACGATAAAGATGGTAATGGGCAGCGCATCTCCTCCCCTCTGTCTTTCACACGAGGCCCTGCATTTTTTGATTTCCTGCTTACCCT